TATTTATTTATTTATTTATTTATTTATTTATTTATTTATTTATTTATTTATTTATTTATTTATTTATTTATTTATCATACATTATATTTATGGTAGGGGAACTTCAAATGAGCTAGTTTCCACATAGTCATGTAATGTGTATTGATGCTTTTCATTGTTTCTTTCATTTATTTAATCATCTTCTTTTTTTTTGCTGACCACAAATGCAATATTATTTTATCGTACGTGTTTCTCTTCTTTCATCCTTGTTTTTGAACAATTGATCCGCCTTACTGGGAGAGCACTAATTATGTGTTTTTACGAGGAGGGGATGGTTCTTGCGGTAAATGCCCGTCATCTTGTCCGCTTCGATCTCGAGAACATAGTCCTTAACATTAAAACAATATTACAATGAAATACCAGGAAAGGCTGACGGTTGACAAATGGATGAATTACCAGAAATKAAAATTGGAGATAGTGAGACAGGGTTGGGACAAGTCTTTCTTTTACATATGGTAAGGCAGGTGGATTCCAATAACCAGTGAATAACCGGTAAAAAGAATGTACTAATTAAGTGATCCTCAACGATKATAAGTCATCATTACACTGATGAATATCAGAGTTTTAAATTTGATACGAACGTTGATGAATAAACTATCAGTTTTTAATTATCAAGATTTACTAAATTCATCACGTGAAACGCTATTAGTTAAGTTCGTCGTCCTATATATTGTCGATTTTGAATGATTTATTAGTTCTTGTAATGGCAACATGTCAGATGTCAACTARTATAACAAAATAGCACGATGATTGACAGCACGAGTCCCCTAGTGATAAGAATCTTGATTCGTGAATGGCGATCATGGGCCGTTTATTGACTGCTATARCCCACCTAGACCCATCACAAATAGTATGRACTACTTTTAGTTTACAAACTGAACTTGATAACCAACAGAATCTTTTTTAGTTTCAATATTTATAAGCTATTAAAGTACATGACTAATAGTGAGCAACAGTGTATCTACCTTGCACTAACATTTTAATAGTGATTTTATCATTCTTTATTACAGTAAGACTGTTATAGAAGGTTTAACATTTTTAGGTCATTGAAATATAAGCGTAAAAATTGTATTCATACCTTATWGACAATGACTGAGATTAGGGAACAACTTTAYGCCAGTCTTTTTGACGMAGAAGTCCAGTGCGCTGCTTATWTATGACTTATTTAGCATCMAAATAAGAAGAAGACTTGTAGATTTTCAGTACCAGATTTGACTACGATCCACAATAAGTCTGCTTAGCAAATGATATCYTTCATGGAACACTTGCCGGAATGCGAAAGATTAGGTATTTTMTAAAGACAGGTTGAATGGTGAATGACAAATCGTACTCAACTCTCAAAACATTAATCACCTGGCATGATAATAATGTCAAATTATTTAAAGATGGGTGACACTTATATGATGAATTGCACGACAAGTTCTGTTTTCTAAATTTAACAAGTTAATCATCATCATGATAATTAATGATTATATAGTAAAAATGATGCAATTCWAAGAATGATCAGCCATTTGGATCAGTGAAAGATCTATCAAGCGATCGATTGCGTTAGTTTAGTATTCGAGTTCACTTGTCTAACATATATATTGCCTTTCACACACAAGCTACAGTGCGAACCATTTCTGCACCTGTCAGGATAGGAAAAAACGGTGAGATCATAAAAAGTGATTTTATCCTCTGTAAACTATGCTTCGGAAAAATTAATCTGCTCGAAAGAGGAAAACAGAAATGTCGTTCTAGCAGTAMGTTCTAGAGCTATACAGCTTCAATCTTCATTTCATTTGTAAACAAAAACAGGCAAGCGGGTGCTGAGAGAAAACTGATCGAAACATATGCATCATACAACTTGCCGTTGTTCATTTATTTCTATTATTTCAATTATAAGATAAATCTTATTTTATCAAACAAGGTGAYAGAATGAGAAATAAGGAAAAGTTATTTATGTGAAGAAACCCAGCTTAGTATGAATTGGACCAGCATTGCATTATTCTGATATTTAAATTAATCATTTATTTTAATCATTTAATTTATGTTATTCAGTGTTGCATTGTTCTCAATATCGTCACCCACGCTGTGTTGGTGATATCTTACTGATGCAAACATCCCCTCATGAATGCCAAGCTGCTTTTCCTTGAATAAGAGTATTAGAAATGTAGAAGATTAAGAATGCGATGGTTGGTCTTCATAAGTAGCTTATCTAATGACACAACTAATGTTCAAATRACCGAAAAAAGCTGAGTCCAAGATTATGCATTCACTTACCGACCTCCCACCTTGTGGCTGATCTTAACTGACCSAACGATATCAAACGACATTTCAATCAACTGAGAGATAATTCATTTCCACTTATACAATGAAAATCTCTTAAGGTGTCCGGTAATGCAGATTATTCTTCGGGAGTTGCTATTCAATTGTCTGAAAGTCTAATTGGAGTCTTTACATACAWCAATCAATCTCCCGTAGGCTGGGGGAGGGGGGGGGGAGCGGATTCGTAGAGTTCGTTCGGACGAACACCCCAACAGAAGCTTAAAAGTCGGGTGATTCTCTTTTTTATTGTTCTATTTTAAAATTCTTTTTTTATGAACTGTTTTTAAGCTAGTGTTTTGTTATGAACTGATCATATCTGTGCATTGAACTAACTTTGTTTAGTTTATGTAAAAACGAACCTCCCCAACTTACGAGCCTGAATCTTATCTCCAAAAAATTGAAGCAAATCGAGAACTATTCCTATCCCATCAACGTTGTTTATACTGGCGCAACTGAAGCAATGGGTAAATGAAGAGAGTTTAAGTGAATTTACACGACCGATCAAAAACAAAATGGCTACAGCCATGGCCCCCGTGACCCACCTATTGCCTACCTTTATATTCCCAATTTTTTCTTTYAAACTATGTTTCACTTTTAAACTTTTTCGTTTAAACTATGTTTCACACTAGTTGAGAAGAGGTACACGTTTTTTCTTCCTGGACCCAAATAGAGCGGGCTTCCTGTGCTCTAAGAAGCCTCTTGCCAAAATGGCGGACAGCGAAGATTGTAAGTTCTTGTTCTTCATCTCCTTTCATTTTACTTTGATTTGATTTTTTCAACAATTAATTCAAATAAGACTTCTCGGTGTTTTTACTTTCCATTGTGCTGTTCTTTTTATAGAAGAAACTCTGTCGATGGCACTTTTGCAGACGTGGAAGTTGCTTGACGTCGACTTGATGCATKGCATCTTTTATGAAGCCCTTTATCAAGAACGAGCTTTATATATGTAAAAGGAATTGACTAAATGGACATGAAGATTTTATCGAGTCATAGAGAATCTGATAGACAATATCTAAGCGAATTTTGTAAACTATGTTATAACATCGTAACAGTTATAGTTATCTACGATTGACAAAGTTAACTTGTCCTGAAATTAAGTTTTCTAGGAATAATTGTACGATCGAGGGGTTCAGATTTTATTTCGGTTGTAGGTAGAGTACAAGATGATATGGTTCTATATTGCCAAATTGTATACAAAATAAACTGATTCATTAACACACTGTCGAAACGTTAAAACTAAAAACTATATCTGAAACCCAAGAAATAATATGTAGATATTTGTTGCGATACATTATCCTTTCTAGTTCGACTTCGCATGTCATTAAATAGGTTAATTTTACTGTTCGTTATTGTCAATTATTGAATAACCAATTTGAATAAAGCAAGCGATTTACTACGTGGATGCTCTCTATCGTGGCGTAGTACTTACCGGATTTGTCTTGGCTAGTACGTTTTCTACTACATATGCACTGTGTTTGTAAAAGCGGAAAATCTATATTCAATCTTGTAAAAAGGTTCATGATGTCCCCTTGTTTATTGTAGGTGAATAGCAGGAAGAGTTCTCCTAAACAAAGAGATTAATTAACTGGTAATACAAGTGCTTTGTCAAAACAATCATAAAGTAGTCTTTGACATTACAAATAAATGGTCTTTCAAGTTGCAGGTGACAAAAGTTTTACTAGAAGTTTCATATTTTGAACAGTGAGGGAAAATGC